TCTCTCTCTCTCTCTCTCTCTCTCTCTCTCTCTCTCTCTTTCTCTCTCTATTGAAACTGTATATGAATATTTGAGACTGTATATGAATATTTTGATAAAACTAAGTGAAGCCAAAACTTGAATTTTAACATTTTTGTTCTGCCTTTGTAATCCAAATGTTTCACTACTAGTGGACAGGTCTCGTAATATTATGTTCATGTAGGTAACTCCTTCAGTGTGCATCTGCCAGCCACCAACACAGACCCATGCACTGTCAGTGTATGATGAATTTTTTAGATTTTTGTTATTTTATTGCTATCAGCTCATTTTACAAGACAACACACCTTTTCCTGAAATTTAGTTAAATCAAAACTATGTCCGCCCGTGGGGTTGCATAGTTTTTCTCTATCCTGTCCTTGTGAGGTGAAGCTGGGTTGTGTGTGTATTTTAGAGTATATTTAAAATGTCTTCTCTTCTCCCGCAGGAGATTCCCACTGTGTCGGCTGCAGGGCACTTTGACCCTAGCAGTGATGCTGCCGCTCTGAGGAAGGCCATGAAGGGCTTTGGGACTGACGAAGCTGCCATCATTGCAATCCTGTCTCGCAGGACCTCCGACCAGCGTCAGCAGATCATGCTGAAGTACCAGCAGTCCTATGGCAGGGTTAGTTCATATGTTGGGGAGTGTGGGCTTTGGCCTGGTTACTATGGTTTAGTGCGTGTTTGTTGACGGAAAATCCATCAATGAATTGAGGTATATTTCATTATGGTTTACTGTGATCATTTTTGAACATGAGGAAGGAGAGCAGAATTTATAAATAACTTAACATTCAGTTCACTGTGACATATAAAAGAACAAAATCCTATGTGGTTAACCAATTGGTACGATTCTTTAGAAACCTAAAAGTGTTGGTGATTTAAACTTGTTCATAGGTTAAGGAAGAAAGTTGTTTGTTGTACAAAATGTATTCATTCTAAAAGTGAAGATATGACATTATGGTAAGTATAGCCTTCATAACCTTTATTTGTAAAATCTGAAATCTGAAGTAATTATTGTAAAGCTTTGTGTCAAGTAATTATTGTAAAACCTTGTGTCATTTATACTCTGTAATGATCTTAAATTGTTGTTAGGATTTTTGTTGTACAGATTTTATTATCTTTGTAAATTCATTATTAGAAACTGATTGGCAACGCATAAATCCTTTTTAGTGAAAAGTGACAGAAAAATCTCCATTTTACTCTGAATTTCCCTGTAAAAATAATTTTTTGTGTTACAAGTTTATCTGGATTCTTGCATTCCCATATCTACTTCAAAGGAGGAAGGAGATGGTTCTAAGAAAGCCCTCACTGGGGTAAGTGTCAAGTGCTTCTGTCAGTGTACAAAACTATTCTTCCTTACCACGGAATGGTTTACTCTGCATGTTGCTGTCAGGCCTCTGTACTCCTGAAATGATATGCCTCGGACACTTGCAGCAATGTAGGATACTTTCAAGTGAATTAATGTCTTCCTATTTCATGCAACGAGACTTAGACATGTTGAAGTTACATTGATGACGTGACAGAAGCATATACAAAATTTTGGTGTTAGTGAACAAACTGCTGATACGGTTTGCATCAAAACGGTACAAGCTTTGTGTAACTGCTTCCAAACTATCATTTCTTCAGCTACTGTAGAAAAGCTATTTTGCTCTACCGTTCAGCAGAGCTTCAGTGCTTACAGAACTTGAGACAAATGAAATGGGGTACAAAACTTGGTATCTGCATTTCAATCATTTAGTCCAAAAGTAGATTACTTCTTAGTAGTTAAACACGTGAAACTATATTAACAAAGTAGTTTATGAAAACCTTGACGATCACAGAACTGTGTCAAAATTTTTTCTTTTAAGAAGTGTGTAGTATTTGCAGTAGTATATTAAAATCTTCAATTTGCATTGTAATTTGTTACCAAATTTTTTTTTTGTAAATCATTTTGACTTTGTGAAGTTAAGATCATTGTTTGATGTTCATTTGATAGGTTTCTCGTTATTGGAAATGGACTCATTAATCTAAATTACACTGTATACGGGGGAAGTTGCTGACCTATTGAATGAAGGAAACAAAGATCTTAATTACATTATCAATTTATATGCTTGCTAATGGGAACAGTTTGCTTGCTTTTCAGATTCAGAAGAAAAGAAAACCATGAAAGTAGTTTACCGTTCCCTTGCCAAAAAGCTTCATTATAGTACATCCCTATTCCACTGTATATAGTCATACATTTATGAATAGACAGTCATTGTTGTAGATTTACAGCTTTTGATAGCTGCTAGGGTCCTCATGAAGACATTATTTTCATTAGTTTAAGTCTAAAATGTACTCTTCATTTCCCTGCTTCATTTGTGTGTGTTCTTTTGTGAGCTTATAGTTTGTGCTCATTTCTTCTGTACCACTTTGGTGTCCCCCTTTTAAAGAGGAGCTGTGAAGCAACCTCGGGTGGGATGTGTGTGGACTTCAGTATTTACATCACCAAGACCTGACCCCCCTCAGAATGTACATGAAAAAGCAAAACATGAAACTTTTACTAATGCCAGAAAGATTTTACTTGAAGCATATGGACATGAATTTATAATCATGCAAAATAATATTAAGATTTTATTTCCAAGGGGAAACTTTTATGAGTGTCAGTAAGATTTCACATGAAACATAAGGACATGCCTTAACATTTGTACAAAAAAATTACCGAGACTTTCCTTAAAGACTTTCACTAAAATATTACTACAACCCACACACCCTCTGTGGTGTTGCTTCTGGCCATCCCTGTTTGTGTATATCACATCTGTTTCCACATTTTTCGGCTCAACTCATTCTTACTTATTCCCATTCTTTGTTCTTTTCTCTTTATTCTACCCTTGTACCTCTTCTGCACTTAACATACACATGGGACTTTTTGGCCCATTGCACTCACTCCTCATATCACTGGAAGAATGTAGATAGGCAGACTTGTAAGGAATGCTGAATTTTTCATAGCTTTATATTATCAGTATCATGTGTAGGTTATTCCATTTCCCCTATATTGGATGCTCACAAAAAATCTTCATCATCTCATTTGGATTTATTACTGTATTGATAGAAATCCTCATTTTGTAAAATATATTAGTACCTGCCCAAAAAATGTAGAAGTTAAATCAACATTTGTTATTTTCAGGCCTTTTTTTGAATGTGTAGTGTTTGTAAATTATGGTTTTAATGAAAAAAAAAAAAAATGCATTTCTTTTGGTAAATATAATTTTTGTTTTTAAAAATAAACATGGACTTATTTGAGTTTTTGCGCAGGACTTGGTGAAGGACCTGAAGAGCGAGCTTAGTGGCAAATTTGAAGACACCATTCTTGCCCTGATGACCCCTCTGCCGCTCTTCCTTGCCAAGGAGATCAATCACGCCATTGCTGGGGTTGGAACCAACGAGAGAACCCTAGTGGAGATCCTGTGCACTAGGGACAATGCCTCACTTATGTATGTCTGATGATTCTTATTGTAATGTTTCATTGTCAGATGGTATTTTATGATAATGTTATATGTATATATGCATCTGCTTTGTCTGGCTCTGTTTTTCTTCATGGGTTTAATGGAAAAGAAGATTTGCAACTTCTAAAAAATTTAGTAAGCATACCTTTATTCAGAAACAATAGAAATTAATTTGAACAGTTGTTTATTTTAGGAAGCATTTCAATTCCAAGTATTATATAATAAATGGAATTAATCATCAGGATTAATCATGCATTTCTTTCCATATCAGGTTGATCAAGAATGCTTACTACCAGCATTTCCGCAAGAAGCTGGAGGAAGACCTCCATGGCGATACCTCAGGAGATTTCCGCCGTCTCCTCATTTCAATGTGCGCATGTGCCAGGGATGAGGCGAGCTGTGATCCAGCCCTGGCAAACAATTTGGCCCAACAGCTATACAAGGCAGGTCAGTTGTCCGACCTTAGGTTGAGAATATTTTTCAGTAGATTATTTTTAGAAGTTAGAAAATCACTTGTATTTCTTTGTAGTATGGAGGTGTTTGATTACATAAGGAATGTTGAAAAGCAAAACAAAATAAAACAGATTACTAGTAGTTTTACTGAAAGGTGAGAAATTTCCCAAGAAACCTATTCTATTTATATTTTTTTCTGGCATTGTATCAAGATCAGGGATAACTGTCATTCATGATGGATGTATATGGTACTTATTAATTGTAGGTAAGCAATTTATAATGAATTTATATGGTTTGGTTGCTGAATACTTTGGTTATGAAGATGTGATGGTGTCAGTGAAAAGAGAATTGAGTGAAATATTCATTAAATATGATTGCTTTAAAATTATCAGGATGAACAGGAAACATTAGTGTACCCTATCTTATCCAAGGGAAAATAAAAATGGACAATTTGGCTTGGATTCTGAAGTTCTCCGATTTATTGTTTCTTTTGAGAGAGAAAAAATAGTCATATATATGAATTCCAAAGAATGTGAAAAGGAATAAGAAAGGTTAATACTTTACGAGAAAAATGTATCTGATAATTTGGAAAATTTAGCATCCTCCTATAAGAGCCACAGGGTAAAAATGAAGACCCAGATTTGACAATGAATAAACAAGTATTTGAAAATGAATATGGGAAATATACAGTATTGATAAGATTTGGATATGCTTCATTTGAAACAATTTCTGGTTATTATTATTATTATTTTTTTGTGCTGGCATATGAGAAAGCATATATGTATTTTTAAATCTTTTGATATGTAGGTGAAGGCAAGATGGGTACAGATGAGGCAGAATTCAACCGCATTCTGTCAGCTTACTCGTATCCCCTCCTGCGCTGCGTGTTTGAAGAATACAGGAAGATTAAGGGAAAGACCTTTGGCGATGCCATTGATTCTGAGCTGTCTGGAGACCTGAAGCTTGGCATGAAGACCATCTGTAAGTATTGTTTAGACAAGTTTAGATTGTTGTCTTTGCTGTAGATGGATTGTTCATTTCTTACTATACTTGCCATACAACAGCCTCAGTGCTATGATATATGTCGTCCTAAGACATGGTAATTCTTCCTTTTCTATGGCTCCACTATTCTCTCATATCCAAATATAAATGAACACTTCACAGTTAACTCCTTTCTAATACCTTGCTCATTGTCGTAGGAGGGCTTAGGAGATGGAGACTGAGGCCGAATGTAGGGGATCACCCCTACCTTGGGCCTCAGCCCAAGGGGTAGATGATTTCTTTTCCTCATTTTATTTACTCACCATGGCTAATGATGAAGATTCTTTACTCTTAATAGGGACATTAAGGCTTGCCCCTTCACCAACTAGCCCATCTAAATTTGATTTACATGGTTTTCCAAACCCTGCCCCTTCTTTGACCACAGCTCTGACCACTGGTACTAATACCCCCTCCTTTACATGTACTGATAACTTTATCCATTCCAAAACACCCACCCAGGTTATTACTCGACCAGAAAGCACCCCTTCCTCTCTCCCAACATTCTCCTCTCTTCCTCCTACTGCACAGTCCTCTGCTATGTCTGCCCCCCTCTTCCCTTATTACTACTCTTCATTCTTATTGTCCTCCCAACCCACAGAACTACTACTCTCCATGCCATCCCATCTTTCTCTTGCCCTTGTCCTTCTATTACCTTTACCTCTACAAACCTTTTGAGTACTCTCTTTGGCCCAGCCAAGTGGGATCGATTCTTTGTGATTCCCACTGCAGCTCCCTATTCAGAGAATACCCTTCTCTTTCAACAGTGCCTTCAAAAACAAGTAGGCAATGTTACCTGTTGCAGTCTCTCCAATTGTTCACACCTTGTCACAGTTACATCTAAATCCTAAACTTGTGCACTATCTACCCTAACTGACCTCGCTGGCAAACCCATTCCTGACGAATCTCACCCCTCTCTCAATACTTGTACTGGAACTGTTTCTGTCCCCCCAAATGCTTGTCTTATCTACAACAAGGGCTAGTCATGCTGTGAAAATGACTTACTTACCTGCCTTGCTGCTGCTGATGCAGTGGCAGTACATTGATACTCTATTCCTCCCAGAGGCCAGCGTAAGTCCCATGTCAATATTGCCAAGATTAGCTTCCATAGACATGACCTCTCCCATGAAATTTATATTGGTGGATTGTCCTACCGTGTCCAACCATATTGACCCCTTCCTCATCAATGTCAGAAATATTGGTGTTTTGGCCACCCAGCCAAACACGTGTCACTCCACAGCTCCCTGCCCTCTATGTGCCCAACCTGGTCATAACCGTTCAGATTGCCTTGATCAGTCACGTACATGTGCCAATTTTGGAGAACCCCATAATGTATTTTATAGGAGCTGCCCTGCCTATAAGCTGGAATGTGAGGTAGCAGTCCTCAGATTCAAACTAGGCCTCACTTTATATGAGGCCAGACAAGAAGCATGACGACAAGATTTTTCTCTCACTACTTATTTCAGAACAGCCTTTGCTCTGCTCCCCACCATCTTCACAAGATGCTTCTGCATCTCCCGCAGTATCTCTTCCCTATACCCTAAACCATCCTACGTCTACTCGTCCTATCCCCCTGTCAAATTTGTTTTCCAGTCTAAATCCAGATACTCCAATGTCTACCACGTCCCTGATACCTACCCCTTCTTTCTCACTTTATTTGTTGCACCAGGCAACTTAAATGTTCTACTCCACCCTCTCCTACACCCCCCTCTTCTGCTCCTCAGATATCTATCTCTTCTTTTCCTCCTCATAAAAGAGCCTTTGTTTCTCAGTCCTCTTCACCCAACTCCCCTCAGAAACCCTTGAAGACGTCCAAAACTACTTAAAGATGACCCAAGGGAACACTCCGCTCTCTCATTCACCCCCCAATCCCTTTGTTCCTACTCTTACATTTAGAGTATTTGCAGATATCTATCCTCCTCCTCAAGTTCCCTTCACCACACCTCCACCTACACCCTCCCAACATTATGGCTCAATTTTGTCACTGTTACTCAACGACTCTTTTGGTTGTAGTCTGTAGTAACAGAGAGTTCAAATCGTGCAGCACTGTACTCTGTCCTTTGGTGTATTTCAGTGCCATCTCATCCTGGACTTTTTAACTGGAAGTTTTTGTGTTCTCAGTTGGAATATGAAGTTGATCCTTGTTTGAATAGACTAAATGAGGGAAATCTTGTGTCCATGGAAGTGCAGTAACATGCCTCTGGTTATTTCACCAATGCCCTTGTATGAATCTTATTTTCTTGGTCAGATCTCAACATGTTCATTGCAGTTACTCTGTGTATTATATATTGCTGGAATAACAGTGTATAAATCAAGCTGACACTTTAAGATTTGTTATTATTTTTAATTTATTGTTGGACTTGATTGTGATTTTTGCAGTGTGGATAGCATATTTCAGCTAATGCAGCTTATAAGATTAATTAGGTTTGCCTTCTCTCTCAGCTGAAGTTGGGAAGATTTTTTTTTTTTTTTTTTTTTTTTTTTTTTTTGTTTTGTTAATGCTTAAAAATACCATCATACTCCTTGATTTTCTTGCTGACTAATTGGCACTGTTCAATACTTGTTCAATTTTGATGTTTTGGTTGGCATTTTTAATCCCACAACCATGTTAATTTGGAAGAAAAGAGCATTGCCATAGAACATTTCTGAGAGTTGGCATATTGTGGATGTGTGTGTGTGTATGTGTATGTGGAGGGGTGGGAGACAGGTGATATAGACCAATCTTTTCTGTATATCACCTGAAAAAGGGTTGGGGTGAAACGATACTAAAATTTGTCCATAACAACTTGGATCCATTGCATTGGGGTCAGATTTTTGGAGGGTAGACTGTACATATATTTACCTTGTTCTATTTGTTGGACTGTTCTCGTAACAAATATTGATAAGGCAATATCTTCAGATCTGTTTTTTTCTTGTAGCTTTAAGGAGGAAGTGTGACACAGTGACATCAGTTTATTTATTGTTTTTACACACATATGGCTCCACAAGTACTTAGTCACCAATAGGTCAATTATTAGTACTACCTTCCTCACATGTTTATCACTTTCCTGCACTTTCAGAAATGTTTTCTTCTATCATATATTGCTCTCAGTAATCGTAATAGCATTATAATATTTTGTAGAGTCTACAGTGATATAACAGCATCGATATTGATAGCCCTAGTAAGATAAAAAAGATCTGAAAATTCATGGAAAGGTGAAATAAGGTGAAGTCAGAAGCTCTACCCATTGTCTCCTTGGTAGCAGAGTACTTTTGAAGCCATCTGTGTGTAGAGATATTTCACAAAACAATTCATTGTGTACACAGCATTTTCCCAGCAGCATTCGGATAAGTGTTTTTATTAGATCCATGATATGCTAACAATAATTTTCTAATGAATGTTTTAAGGAGTTGTATTTAGCTGAATTATTTTTTCTGAAGAATTTTGCTCTATGAAATCCCCCTATATATTCTCCCAGTTTTAAAAATAGTATAATCCATGATATCATATAACAAGTAGGAAAATAGAAGAAACTCTTAATGAATTCATAAAAAATCTCAAACATATTATCTATTAGTTTGCTGGTTCTCTCAGAGTGCCATACACCCTCATTTCCTGGCAGAATAAATATTTTGGAGGATGCCTGTGGGACACCTGTCATTGAAGGGTTAAGATGAGTAAAATTACTTCAGATTTGTAACTATCGCTTCAAATCCTTCTCTTTTTCAGATCAGTGCATCGAGAACCGAGCAGCTTTCTTTGCCAAGGAGCTGCATAATTCCATGGCCGGGGCAGGCACCAATGACAGGGCTCTTATTCGCTTGGTGGTGTCTCGCAGTGAGATCGACATGGGCAACATCAAGCAGGAATATCAAAAGCTGTACAAGAAGCCCTTGGAGAAGGACATCAAGGTAAGACGAGGCAGGACTGTATATTGTATGTATGTAAATATTGTAGATTTATTGTGTAGGATATTGGGCAAAGTAAGAGAGGGAGTTAGATAGCAACCTTTAGACAGACTAAAAATTTAATGAACTGCTTTTAGTACTACATATAAAAAAGTGGAAGGGATGGGTTAAGATACAGTAGACTATTGCATTTCCATGTAGGGATATGTAGAGGGCTCACAGTAGGTACAGTAACCCCTTGATCTTGTTCCATACATTGATGGATACAATTTTATTTATTAAAGGAAAGTAATATTTATGGTTATGATTATCAAATTATGGTTGGAATCAGCATCTTTCAAGATATGGGCCACTTTTGAGTGAGACTAAACTTTCTGTGATACTTTTTACTGAACACTAGTATGTTTTGAAAGGTTAAAAGGTTTTTGCATGTTGGATTTGATTACATAAGGGTTCATAATCTTTTTTTTTTTTGGCATCAGGGGCAGTATTCATGAAAGGTCATAGACTGATATTTGTCTATACAAAGAAAAGTTGGACTGCAAATTTGTTTATGATTTCTCTCGAAAATGTCTGTAACAGTTGATTTTTGCTTATGACTTGGTTGAAGTTTAAGATATTTCTGGATTTTACATAAGTTGAAGATAACTCGCCAACAGTAATATAAAAAACTTTCATACAAATTCCTGTTTATTAAACATACAGTAATTCATATCCTCCAAGTTTACTGCAGTTTTCTTTTTGAGAAATAAAAAGGGTGCTGCATGCAGTGATAACAGACGTGGAAGGTGCCTCTTTGACATGTAAAGATTGTAAATGTTTGATAATATAGTCATATATTTGAGGTGCACTGCAATATTTATCTTATACCATTATTATATTGGATTGTAATCATTGGGTCTTTTAGAATGTAGATGTTAGTTCAAGTTAAGTATTAACTTTGAAATGCAGTGCAGGACAAGTCATATACAAAATATTTTAGGACAGTCTTTAGGTTAGATCATCGGCAAATTGGCAGTCTTGGACTCAGTTTTTACGACAGTTTATGAAATTGACCAAAAGAATTCTGTGACTGATCATGAATAATGTCCCAGTTTTTTTTGTGCTAATGAAAAGACCAAAGTTAATGTATGATTTAGCAGAAATGTAATTGATTTTCAAATGTTTTATTCTTGAACTGACTTTATGATTTAAATAGAATTTTTTGCTCTCTACATGTTGTCAGTTTTTGTACTTTCCAAGATCATTTTAATACTGATGGCACCTTCAGAGAATTATTAAAGCCTTGTCCACATTCATACATCTATAAATGGAATTATTTATCTTTTTATTTCTTACTTGGGTCTATATTCTCTCATTAAACCTATTGTTGATATTACTTTTGTTCAGCTATTAGTGCTGGGTTTGAAAAAATACATTCAAGGATTACTTATTGATTATAAAAATCTCTATATCTTGCTTTCATGGTAATCTATGAAAACAAGAATACCAAATAAAAGGAATGTGAATAAAATCACATTTGATATTCCACACTGCCTCGGAAAATCAAATGGAAACCTTTTTTTAGTTGTTTGATATGGTGGCATGCCTTAGTTTAACAGTGTGTGTGGTTTTTACTCATGTGAAGTTAATATCTCCTTGTTTTGTGAAAGTGTTCTAAATACCATGAATTGTCCCTGTTATATAAGTAACATTTGCAGATGAAACATGGCCAAAATAATATTGATACTTTTAAAAGACATTTGTATTATCCATGTTGATGCTACGTTTGGATTCAAAATACGCTGCTTCTTGGGATTATAAGAGAGAGAGGCATGTTAACCCAGTGTAAGGGGATGTCAAGAATGCATGCCAGGGCCACTGTCTTTTTGTTCATTGTCTTTCCACAAGGATGGCTCCACAAGTGCCTAAATCACCAAGGAGTAAGTAGTACTACCTATCTCAACTCCAAAGAAAGTGTAAAATTTATTGTTGCTATTAGTATTGTTAATAAAGTTATAATAATCATAATGTCAACAACAAAAATAACAGCATCAAAAAAACAAAAACAAGAAATCCTGAAAGCTTAAGGAAAAAAACAGCTGAGGACATGCAGGCTTACTAATTGGCTCCATAGTAGCTGAGCACTTGTAAAGCCATCAGTGTATCAAACAAAATTTATGAATGGAAACGACAGTAGGCCTTGGGATTACCCGATACCATTGGATTAATGCATCTGGTAACACTTAGATGCAGGATCAACTTGGATTCTGGATTATATGAAAATCTTTACATATATTGTTTTGTGAATGGGTGTTCCATTGAGAAGTGCCTTTTTTAAAAGCATAAGATTTGATCAATACAGTGTTTTTTTTTCTTTCTCATGGCCAATTTTCATTTTATAGTCTCTTCTGTCTAATTGTTTGAGAGATCATTTTTTTTCAGAGTGCAATGGATTGCTTTTTGTATTTAACCTGTAACCAGAAAATGCTCATATTTTGAAGTCAAGGATTAACATAAATGTCTGATAATAGGGCTTGGGTGTATTATGTAATGACAAGGGCTTATTGTACAAACAGTAGCTTTTCTCTCTCGCTCTCTCTGTTTCTCTCTCTCTCTCTGTTTCTCTCTCTCTCTCTGTTTTTCTCTCTCTCTCTCTCTCTCTCTCTCTCTCTCTCTCTCTCT